AATAATATTTTTACACATAATTATTTGCATAATTACGCTTGTGTTTTTATTTGATATTAATATTTTAGTTAAAATACCTCAGATCTACTATGAAGCAACGTCTTATTCTCATTGACGTCATCCCAACTTCGTCAGCGAGTTCAGTTGAGAGTTAACAGTGGTTTCGGTAATGAAAACTATTACAAAAAGTAATTACCTAAGATCGGCAGACATCTAAGACATTCACCCTAAGCTAGAACGGTAAAGCCAGGAAATCCACGTTCACAGGAATGTATTCAGTGTTAAATTAGAACTGCTAGAAGATCAAGCCAGGTAGAGAGCGTAATGCAGCTCTCACAGCCGAGATGTTGAACACAGATCACTTATTTATTGCTGATTATGTCAATAATACTCTTTAGTTTGATTAAGATTGTGATAATGAGTTTGAAAACAGTGACTGCCACAGTGATGACGACTTACATGTAATAAATGACCTCAGTTGACTGACGGATAGTATCTAAATTCGCAAAGGACGAGAGGTGCCCCAAAGATTCACCAGCGAAGGGTGCCTGGCAGGCTCATAACCGGCACAGACTAGCCAAGCCTCTTTTAGCCACACGTGGATCAATAAAGCAGTGCTCATTTAAAGAAATCCAGTGATTTAGTAGAAAGGGTTAAGATCATTGGTTTAAATAGAAAGATATTAGCAAGTTTTGATGATAAAGCATTATTCACGAATGTTCCAATAGACGGGGCAACAATACAAGAGGTCAGGAGAGCAATAGAAAATGTTGAGGAGAGTGATTTACCTGTATCGAAGGGAGACGACGTGCGATTGGTGTCATTGTGTGTCAAGTTTGGTGCTTTTCATGTTCAAAGGTGAGGTCTAGCCATGGTCAAGCCTTCTTCTGTAGCGTATAGTTTCACCTATATTATACAAAAGTAAAAACTGACACATGATTTTCTTTTCTTTTTTTTATTCATAACAATTCCTAAAGTACTTTAACTCTACATCATGATCTACGCTCAATACTCGTTTTCTGGACTACATAACCTTCACCCATAGTGGACCCTTCACGAAACTCTTCTCCTCCCTGGCATTATACTTCTCTGTCACTTCCTGTTTTCTCAATATATCCATAACACTTTACCAAACCTCGATCCACTCACTGCCTAAGACTCCCGACACTGTATTTCCTTTTCTGAACCCACACTGACCCTTTCCTAACACATTTTATTAGTATGCTCATTATTTATACCTCTATAACTTTAACACATCATATCACTTTCTTTAATGTCCTCTGTCATTCGTTTGGTAATGTAATATACTTTCGCTGTTACATAGTGTGTGTGTATTTTTTAGTGTTAATTGTGGGAAAACTATAATTTCTAATTTTTTCAACTTTTTTTCGAAAACTGGAATTGATGTATCTATAATAACAAACGATTATGTGTACATGACACAAGTTACAAATTAAAGTTATCAGATCTAACCAAACATACACCACGGTGATGCCAACAACTAGTGTCAACATTATTTATATTAAAATTACCTAGCCAACGTCTTATAATTGTCTCAGGCAAAGTTATATTTCATAAAGTTATGGGAAACACTATTTCATAATGCACTATTGAATAATAGCAGTGGACATAAATCATTTGAATAAATATAATTAAGAAAACAAACTGTCAACAAGGAGAACAGTAACGTTCACTATCGTGAACCAGACTAAGCATATCAGACACTTGTGGCTGCTGCTGGTGGATGACGGCCATCCAACGTCTCGCTCTCCCGTTGTACCTCACAACTTCTCCATCCTTAGCCAGGACTCTCTTATTCCAGCAACGTGAGTTTCCTTTTCCAATTATATGCGTGTATATAAATTCTACGGACTGACCTGACCTGACCTGACCATAACATGACATAAAGGCTAGTGACAGGGGGGGGAGGAGGTTCAGGGGAAGGAAAAGGGGGGATTCAAGTGAGTTTTAGAAGGAGAGGAAAGGTGCAGTGGCTTAAACACCGCTTGCGTGGTGTGGGGTTGTAAGTTTGAGGCAGCAGCAACTTGCCTGGACGCGGCGATGAGGGGGGCAGGACCATGAGTCAGGTAAGCGTCAGGTCAAACGTCAGGTGAGTGTCAGGTTGGACAATGGTTTCTCAGTACTTGGTCGGCTTGATTGGGTGTGGTGTTTTCTTGTTTAGCGAAAATATCTTGGTTTTCTTATTAGCTTGAAGTTGACGATCTTCTTTTTCTCCTCTTTATGCTCTCTTGGATTGTCCATCAGCTTGTGTCTAAGTCCTGTTCTTCATCGTGGCCTAGTTGCTCATAGATGTGGAGGAAGTCGGAGGGGGTGATCTTGATGAGGTGTTCTGCCCCTGGGGTCTTGTGGTGTTCTTGTTTCTTGGTAACGTGTGTCTTTTCTTGGGTCTTCGTTTCTTGATTTTTCTTTTCTTGTTTCTTGGTTTCTTGTTTTTTCTTGTCTTAGGCGTGTACAGCAAGGAGGGCCTCATTGTAACTCACTTCCTTGTTGAGTCGAACCTTGGCTATCCTGCATCCCTCCTTCCATTTGGGGAAGGTCCAGTCGGCAGAGGAGTGTGGGCCGCCACAGGCAGCACATTTTTACTCTGTATTGGGGCAGGCGGTGTAGCGGTGTCCAGGGGTAACGCACAGGGAGGGATATCACAAAGAAATTAGATTCCAGTTAGATTTTCAGGGCAGACGTAAGGAAAATTCCACTAAAGTACCAGATTTCAGAAGGGCAAACTTTGACAGTTTAAAGAGGCAGCTGAGAGAGGGGGTGTCGCGCTTGGGTTGCAACCTGACAGATGACACGGACCTGATAACGAGTTCTGAGAATGCCGAGTTCCACGACAATTTAAATAATGAGTAACTTAATGCACAAAGGCAGAACATACCATACAAAAAACTCAGATCAGACAACAATGACCCTAAATGGATAAATAATTATTTAAAGAACATCATTGGCCAAAGTAAGGCTATAGGTAGAAGGATAAATCGTGGTGAAATTTACCTCCGGGATTATTATAAGGTATTGGCGAGTAGGGTTAAAACCGAGATAAGGAAAGCCAAGAGGAATAATGAGGTAAGGATAGCAAGGGAGGCGAAGACAAACCCCAAAGGAGTCTACCAAATGTATCAAACTAAAACACGAGAAAAGATTGGACCAATACGGTCAGATACTGGCGAGCTCACTGATAACGACGGAGAAATGAGCAATAATTTGAATAAATATTTTCCACAGTTTTCACCACCAAAAATTTAAACATGATAGCCGAGGCACCGACTCTATTCAGAGATAGTGAAGAAAACAAATTAAGCGAGATAGTAGTGACTAGTAACGATGTTAGTAAGCAAATAGACAAAATAAGCCTAATAAGTCACCTGGTCCCGATGAGATATTTGCCAGAGTATTAAAGGAATGTAAGGAAGAGCTTAGTATGCCCTTAGCAAACTTGTTTAACATGTCCTTAAAAACATGTGTAGTACCAGAATCCTGGAGGATAGCGAATGTAATACCGATTATCAAGAAGGGGGATAGATCACTATCCTCTAACTACGCCCAATCAGTCTAACATCAATAGTAGGCAAATTACTGGAAGCAGTCATTTCAAGCTCTATTCGAAATCACCTGGAGAAGCACCGATTGATCAATGATTCCGAGCATGGCTTTACTAGCAGACGTTCATGTCTAACTAATCTATTAACATTCTTTTCATCAGTTTTCGAATCGGTGGACGAGGGGCACAATTATGATGTGGCATATCTCGACTTTAGCAAAGCCTTCAACAGTCCCCCACGAAAGACTAATTAGAAAGGTAGAAGCACATGGAGTCAAAGGTAATATCCTTAAATGGATTAGGGCGTGGTTACAGGACAGCATGTGAGCATTAACGACACTAAGTCCCATTGGAGCAACGTCACTAGTGGAGTTCCCCAAGGCTCAGTATTTGGACCATTATTATTTATTGTATACATAAACGACATAGATATCGGCATAGACAGCAACATAAGTAAATTTGCTGATGACACTAAAATAGGACGTGTTATTAAATCTGACGAGGACTCCGCAAAACTACAGGAAGATCTAAAAAAACAATTTTGAATGGTCTGAAAAATGGCAGATGAAATTCAAAGTGGACAAATGTAAAGTACTCAGTATATGAGATGTAAACAGGGAAACCAGATACCAAATGAACAACGATGCCATAGAGAAATCTGACTGCGAGAGAGATTTAGGAGTAATGAAAAGTAGGAACCTTTAGCCAAATAAACAATGTGTTTTTGCTCGTAACAAGGCTAATAAAGTACTTGGGTTCATACAAAGGAGTGTTGGTTACAAGACTAGCGAGGTCATCCTAAAACTGTATCTTGCGCTTGTGAGACCACACCTGGATTACGCAGTTCAGTTCTGGTGACCGTATTACAGAATGGATATAGAATCCTTGGAAAGAATTCAGAGGAGGATGACAAGACTAATCCCGGGCATTAGGAACCTTGAGTATAGAGACAGGTTAAAGCATCTTAATTTGCACTCCCTCGAGAGACGTAGAGCAAGGGGCGACCTGATAGAGGTGTATAAATGGAAGTCAGGGCTAAACAAAGGGGACATTGCAAAGGTACTCAAACTATCCAACCAGGAGCAAACTCGTAACAATGGTTTTAAATTAGACAAATTTAGATTTAGGCGCGAAATAGGTAAACACTGGTTTGGAAACAGAGTAGTGGATAAATGGAACAAGTTTCCAAATATCATCATTAACTCGAATATGCTGAATAGCTTCAAACATAGGTTGGATGCTTATATGAGCAATCGGGGTTGGGTGTAAACGGGTCTGCCCAGTATGGGCCATTAGGCCTGCTGCAGTTTCCTCCATTCTTATGTTCTTATGTTCTTATATGTCCTCCTGCGCCTCACACTTGTTGATAGTGTGACCGTAGTGCTGGCATTTGTAGCAGCGTTTGGGTCGGCAGTAGGGCTTGACTGGCACAGTTACCCACGCCAGTTGCGCCTCTTTGGGTAGGGGTTCATGGTGTCCCACGAGGGCAGTGGTGTCGGACAGCTTCTTGACACAGCTGAGTTGTCCCTCAAGTAGTTGGTCCAGCTCTTTTGCGTCCATGTGGGCAATTTCGGCGTGGGAGATTACTCCCAGCTTCAAGTTGTCCCACATGTAGTCTATCGTATGTACTTGGATGCCGTTGATGTCGGGGATCTCTTCGAGTTGTCCGGGCTGACCTTATTCGGCGAAGGTGATCTTGATGTCTCCATGCAGCTTCAGTCGTTCCACCTTGGTAATAAGATCATAAGAAACATAAGAAAATAAGGAGTCTGCAATAGGCCGGTTGGCCTGTGCATGGCAGCTCCTGTCGAGAGTTACTACCTCTCTCTATCATCCATGAATCTATCTAGCCTCCTTTTGAAACTTTCCAGAGTTCCCGCACTTACTACAAAGTTGCTAAGCTTGTTCCACTCGTCCACCACCCTATTTGTGAACCAGTTTCTTCCTATCTCCCTCCTAAATCTAATCTTATCCAACTTGAATCCGTTGCTCCGAGTCCTATCCTGCTCGGATATTATAAGAACTTTATCTATATCCCCTTTATTGATTCCTTTCACCCACTTAAATACTTCTATCATATCTCCCCGCACTCTTCGTCTTTCTAGGGAATGCATGTTAAGTTTCTTTAACCTATCCTGATATGGAAGGTTTCTAAGTCCCGGAATCATTTTTGTCATTCTTCGCTGCACCGACTCTAGTGAATTTATATCCATTCTATAATAGGGGCACCAGAACTGAACCGCATAATCGAGGTGCGGCCTGACTAGAGCAAGATATAGTTGCAATAAGACCTCTGCACTCTTGTTACTTACACTTCAGTTTCAAAGAACTTCTTGAGGACTAGGAGGTTTAATTTCTTGGGGCAGGTCTGCATGACTGGGAGTATCCGAGACACCTTGGACTCTTCGTAACCGGTCATGGTGAGAGAGTTTGATGTGTGTGTCGACCTGACCTGTCTGTCTGTCTCTACTGTCACGATCATCCAGCGATGGCAAAATATTAAGATTCACCTTTGTTGTTGAGTTGTAAGTTGTAAGGCCAAAAGGGGAATGACAGTGTCGTCCACAAATGTTGTGTGAGTGGAAGGGTGCGTCTTCACTTGAGTATTTTAGCTCGAACAAACCAAACGAGCAGAACGCGCCGAACAGAATTTGGCTAGTACAGTATAATTTTGAGTATGTCTGTCGGATATGCTGCAAGCGTCTGAGTGTGTGTCTGTCTGTGTATTTAACGTTACAGCATTCGATCTAAGAAGTGAGGTGCCGTGTAGATACAACTATCACCTCCTATTTTATGGGTTGCTAGTTCAATCCCGGGCACTACCGGCCCACCCTACTGTAAATGGGTACCTAACTTTACAAAGTTGTGTTATTTAAGATGATCGGGTGCGGATTGCTTAGTATTCACTGTGCTGTATCCCAACTGTCCCTAACGTACCGTTATGCCTCCGAGACTCATTTCACTTTTCAGTCTTTCTAAGGTAATTTTCGGATTTTTATATAGGATTGTATGGAAGTGTGTTAATGTGTGTAATATTAGTATTCCTGGTAAATTTGTGTCAATCAGTTTTCGAGTCTGATAAGTTTTTGGTTACTTCTTACTTGTTACAGCAGTTTTAAATAATAATTTGTTTCATTTTTATCAAGAAACTTTCCAGACGACAACTTAACAATATCTAAACCATTTTCCTTCACGTTTAGAAAAAAACTGACAGGGCATCATGCTACGTGATGCTTGGTTTTGGGGCTGTTGTTACCTCTTAGCTATGTCAGACTATTTTCATGTTCACAAACCTTGATATACTGTATATCCTAACAACCAGTCTTATCACTTATGAAATAACAGCAGGGAGTACCTGACAAAAAGTTTTATCAATCATATCTACCTGGAGTTCAAAGATACTATTAACGTGTTGATTGTTTCGACAACCCCGTTAATGAGTCCAGGTTTGTGAGTGATATACCTGGATCTGTATCTGGAAATGACTCGGTATGAAAAGAGAGTTAATGGTAAATCGCTGATCCTCCATGTTCAGTTAAGGTGACGCTCAGTTAAGGTGGCGCTCAGTTAAGGTAGCGCTCTGTTAAGGTGACGTTCAGTTAAGGTGGCGCTCAGTTAAGGTGGCGCTCAGTTAAGGTGACGTTCAGTTAAGGTGACGTTCAGTTAAGGTGACGCTCAGTTAAGATAGCGTTTCGTTAAGGTGGCGCTCATTTAAGGTGACGCTCAGTTAAGGTGACGCTCAGTTGAGGTGACGCTCAGTTAAGGTAGCGCTCAGTTAAGGTGGCGCTCAGTTAAGGTGGCGCTTCGTTAAGGTGACGCTCAGTTAAGGTGGCGCTCAGTTAAGGTGACGTTCAGTTAAGGTGGCGCTCAGTTAAGGTGGCGCTCAGTTAAGATGACGTTCAGTTAAGGTGACGTTCAGTTAAGGTGACGCTCAGTTAAGATAGCGTTTCGTTAAGGTGGCGCTCATTTAAGGTGACGCTCAGTTAAGGTGACGCTCAGTTACGCGCGCTCAGTTAAGGTGGCGCTCAGTGGTGGCGCTCAGTTAAGGTGGCGCTCCAGTTAAGGTAGCGCTTAGTAAAGTAAAGGTGGTGCTTAGTTAAGGTGGCGCTCAGTTAAGGTAGCGCTTAGTAAAGGTGGTGCTTAGTTAGGGTGTCGCTCAGTTAAGGGGAGTCCAACAGCAAGGGGGGCGGTTAATCACCCGCCTTAAGGCCAAAGGTTTGATGGTAGTAGTTTTGAAATGTATATTAAATGAGTAAGTCAAAATACCATTTCGTACTTGATACAGCCTAGCCAAAAACCTGTGGCAAAGGGTTAAAATTGTGCCGCACGGTGGCGACCTTTATACACACACTGTTGTACTTAAGTATAGGGCAATAAATATGGTACAAAATGAATGGCATGAAGATACACAACAGTCTGATAGCTTTGGGTCATATAATAGAAGAATCTGGAGGACCCTCAACTTTTAGCTGACACAGATGTCCTTGCAGCAGGCTCACATAATGGATTTCTTCCAGGAACGCATTATAATAGGTGCAAGAAACTACAAACATCTCCTTCTATCAACATCATTCCATGTACTACATCTTCATAGCTTTACAGCAATTTTGTTTTGCAATTTCAGCTACACTAATAAACAAACTTGAGAAACAAAGACCAGCCATCTGCCCAGGCCTTTGAAGTCATTGAGAAGTCACCAGAGTTCATAAATTTCACTGAAAAATATACAAGAATTGCAATTGACACAAGGACAGGAAACCAGGGAAGCACAGCACGGTTTTGGATGATGTGCATAAATTTGGTAGACCTCTTCCTGTTGCTCAACAGAGCCTGTCGTCTCAATGATCTTGTTGTACACATGTTGCATAGGCAATATGTGCTCTGTACTCTTTGCTTCAGGTCGCCCAAATTATTTAAGATGGAAGGTCAAGTTTAACTTGAATCTACTAAATATTGACATACCACACCCGGGTGTACGCCAAATGTTGGAAAATGGAGGCTTGTCAGTTAGACGCACTACAAAATCCTTTGCAAGGACACCAGTAGATCAAACACTGTAACGAACAACCAATGCAGATGCTGCTTTCAGTCTGCCAGGCATTTTTGCTTTTAACCAGTCAATTGGAGCTCGCCAAAGATGGATAATTCCTCGAGTAATGCGAAGTGCAATTGTTAGCAATCTGCTGTCCATGTCAGGAAAGAAGCAGCATGAAGAATCGGCCCAAAAGCTCAAATTTTACAGAATTCAGAGACAATGATGACCTGCAAAAGTTGATTACAGGCATTAAATCAAGGCTCAATCCCATTGTAGAAGCTGTTAGTGATGAAAACCTGTATTGCATTTCAACTGGCTGTGCAGTTTCAGAAAAAGTGAAAGAAGAGTTGACACGGTGTATTGATAATGGCCAGAAGTGGTGTGATGAGTTCCTAACAGGCTGCTTTAATGATGCTAGTAGATTTGAAAAACAATACCACGGCGTAGAGTGAAAACTTAGCAACAGAGGGAGTAAAAGTCAAGTGGGAAAGATACGAAAATCCAAAAGATACAAGCAACAAGAGACCTATTTGGGAGGTAATTATACCTAGTCACAAAGATCGTTATTGATTTTTGTGAAGTTTTAAGTTACGCTATCATCCCTGTACCTGCATCTCTGGCATATCTTAATGGATTAATCAATAAAACAGGTAAGTCTGCACTCCTAAAGAAATTTGAAACGAACTTAAACAGTCAGCAACCTTCCAGAGTAGATGCTTGTGTTATAGATGCAATTTTTCTCATCAATTCTTTGTCAGTTCTCCCTGCTACCTATGACGGGGTGGCTGAAGTCCTGTTCTCAAAGTTCTGCGCTCATGCTAGACGTGTGGACCTTGTGTGTGTTACGTATACAAAGGTCAACATTATTATTGCTGGCCCTGATCAGAAACGACCAAAAAACTTCAGTCAAGCACTGTCATCCGACCTATTCAAGACACCACTCCTCAAATTCCTTGCAGCTGAATGGGAAAAGGACACCTACAAAGAGGTGTTAGACGGTCATGAAATCTATCCTGCAAGCACTTGAAAAGTGTTAATATTTTGAAGTAAAAAGAGGATCAGTGTTTCGGAAGACTGTACCTGAACTTGGCTGTCAGCAAGAGAATGTCTTTTGCATGTGAACCATATCAAGGAAACCATGACATATGCCTAGGTTAGTGTTAGAGCAAATGACACATTTATTAGTGATCCTTCTTTACCATGTTGCAAAGGGTACTGGTACTACCAAAGTTTGCATGTTAATGCCCTTGCTGCAAATTTAGGAGAGACCATCTGCTCTGACTTAACAGCAATGCATGCTTTTACAGGATGCGACTACACATCACCATTCATGCGAAAAGGAAAGTTACGCCCGCATGATAATATGGAAAAGTTTAAGGTGTATCAAGAAGCCTTTTCCAAGGTTAGGAATTATTCAGAAGAATCTCCAGATGTGATCTTGTATTATAATCATTTGTGAGCACTCTCTATGGGAGAGGAAAGTTTAAAAGTGTGAATGATGCAAGATTTGCTTTGTTAAGGCAAA